CCAAGGTCCCCACCAAGGTCCCCACCAAAACTTAGACCGAACCTACGCCCTTGGTTTCAACTGAGGATTACGTCACTGCCAGAGAAACCACCGACTTCTGATTAGGTAGTGGAAAAAAAACAAAAACAATAAATTATGTTCAGACTGAACTAATTAGGGAACACACACACAAAAAAAAGCAATTTAGCCTTATCACACTGAGTCATGCCCAGCTTATCATTAGAGCATGAGGGAAAAAGTTAAAATGCAACAAATAACTCTTATCTCTACCGGAATAAAAGCTCTCGCTCCAGATAAATTGCTTTGATTTATTGCGTCTGCCTTGTCTTTGCTGTCCTCCGCAGGACTCTTTGGTCGGCCATATTGCTGCCCGAGTGTCACTCTTGAGATGGAGAGATTTTTTCCTTAAGCACGACTTGATGTCCAGCCAGTTTAAAGAAGTCATTGGCCATGCAGGCGGGTAGTTAAAAATAAATTAAAAACCTTAATGACGTTTTGAGGGAAGGGGAAAAAAACTTCCCAAAGCAATAAAACACAGTGAAAGTGCAACAGGTTTGACAATTTGATGAGGAATGTTCCACAAGAAAAAAAAAAAAAACAAAGAAAATGGACGGCACACTGTGACAAAGAGGACAAAATGTGCTGCAGATATATTGCTCCATGTACTTTTTTTTCACCCTCGTCCTCTCTTCAAAGCCCTCCGTGAATCATGAAATTTACGATTCCCCGGACTTGGAGTTCCACAAATCCACCGCGCCACGTGCGAGTCGTGCGCGTGCATTCGTTCTTTTCCCGTTTCGTTTCTCTCCTCTGACGCATCACGCGGTGCTCCGGAATTAGCGAATTAGCTCCCTAATTAAACCGGCCTAATTGCTTTCACCTTTGCCAGGTAACAGACTCTCATTCACTCCCGAAACAATGAAACAAGCTTAATTAGTCCTAATTGTTTGCGTCCAAAGTCTGTCTGCTCTCCTAACAAGGTCAACTCCACACGTCTGTCTCTGCAAACACTCTACACACCAAAATCCTCTGGTGCAGTGATTCACACCCACACACCTTCTTCCCAGCAGATTAAGATAAAAAAATAAAAAATAACGCCATCCTCGTCCAGCTGTGCTTTTCTTCCCTGAGCTGGATTGCAGCTTTTAAGATGGTAAGAGAGGCTGATTATGAGGAGATGAGCAGGGAGAGCAGCAGCCGGCCCAGGATGGGGGGGTTTGCTCTCTGAATGCTAATGCAAGGCTTGAGAAATGGCCATTGAAATGCAGGGTCCGCATGTTTTCTTCGGCTAATACTCGGGGCAATGCCAGAACAGCCGCAGCTCCAAGAGCGAAAGGTCACTTCAATGTTAATCGGCAGGATAACGGCAGGCAGTTTTGACTGTGACTCACTGCTGTACAACTCAAGAGCTTATCTTAATAAGAGTCTCCTGATCAATGAAGTAATCAGTTGGAATTAGATTTTTGTTTTTTACCCCCCGGTGGGAAAAATCTCAAATTTCTGTACATTTCCGAAAGTTAGGATACAACTCAAGTGAACAATACAATTATTTAAACATCAGTTGAAATAAGAGAAATCCACTGCAAAAACAAAACTTTACCAAGTGATTTTTTTGACTAGTTTCTAGAGCAAGCATCTTAGTGCGCTTGAAATAAGACAAAACTAACTTAAAAGTAACTTTTCAGCAACATATAGGAGCTTGTTTTAGCTAAATAATTCCTCTATATTGATGGAAAAAGTTCCAGTTCCATTGTCAGATTATTTCACAGTATACAAGAGGGTGATTGACAGCACTAAGACCCTCCCCCTGGCTCTGATTGGTTGTTTCTACTTCGCACTGGGAGAAGGCAGAGGAGCTTGATTTTGTTTCACAGATTATCTGTTTGATACCATATTGTCACAACATAGTGACAGTTTCAACAAATATATATATATATATATATATATAACTTGTCTTTTTAGATGAAAATTACATACTGCAGCTTTGACAATAAAATATTCAGTGAGCTGAGATCCTAGGATCCATCCTTCAGTATAAAAGATTCCTGTGGCAAAAACTGAAAGTCCTACAAATTTCTTTTTTTAAAAGGACTTGAAAGAAAGCAGTTCTTGTGAAAGGTCAACTGTGGTGTGTTGGTGTTCACTGCTACCACTTCCAGATGTGTTTTTCTGAATAATTACACAGTCACACACACCGTTATTTAGACCCCCCCTGTGCCTTCAAGAGTTGGAAGGGTCATCAAACAGTGCATAGAAATCAAAATAACTTTGGCATTCAGGAGCTTAAGAGTTCTCCAGTCCAGTCGGATTTTTTTTTTTTTTTTTTACCAAGTTGGATGTTGGAAATTCCTCAGCTGCAGAAAAGAAAAAAAAAAAGAGAGAGAGAAAAGCGTGAGACATGTCGTGTCATTCAGAGCTCATTCATGTCTAATTACCATGGCACTAAACCATTTTCTTAGCCTTTGTGGGCCTGTTGAGAGGATGGCCGGGCCCACGCTCTCCCATGCGCACAGCTCCAGCATCCTCCTCCTGCTCCTTCGGCAAACCCAACAGCAGCGGCGGCGGCGGCAGCAGTCACACAGAATGAATGGAGCTGCCTCAGGAATGCAGACACAAAGGGAGGAATGTCATTCTGCCAAGTGCCCCTTATTCCAAACCAAACCAAAGGGACATGTGCACGCACACACAGAAGCACCTCACAAGTCCAGGCATGTTCAAATCACAGGGGGTGAAAAGTCTTATGATTTTTCTTTCCCTCCTCCGCCCCCACTATAACTGAATACAAACATCAACTTTGTGCCCAATAATTTTTGTACCTTTGATGCATTTTTCCTCCCCCCTATTATTAGACTTTATTCTGTCTTGGTGTTCCCAGTCAAAAAAAGGTGCTATTATTGGTAGAGCTTTGAATAGTAGGTTGTGGTTCCTTTATATGCCAGTGACTCATTCTTCATATTTTATGAATAAAACTTAATACTGTCTGGAAAAATAAAAATAAATCATTGATAAATTAGGGCAAAGATCTACTTTTAGCAAAGGTCTACTTTTAGCACCTATTTAGCATTTTTCTCTACCATTAGACTTTATGCGGACGACACCTTGGTATTCTGAGTTTATCATTAAAAAAATGCTAGTACTTATAAAACATTGAATTGTAGGTTGTGATTTATTCATATGCCAGTGATTTATTTTTCATATTTTATAAATAAAACTTCACACTATCTGGAAAAAAATAATCAGTTCTAAAATTAGGGCAAAGGTCTACTTTTAGTACTGATTTAGCATTTTTTGCTGTTATTAGACTTTATGGAGACGACACCTTGGTGTTCTAAGTTACTAACATCTTTTTTTGATGAGAACTCATAAAACATTGAATTGTAGATTGTGGTTCCTTCACACAGTAGTGATCCATTCTTTACTGGTATATAAAGAATGGATGCTAACTAAAACTTAGCATTATGTGAAAAAGATTTTGTGCTAAAAGTAGGACAAAGGTCTACTTTTAGCACTAATTTAACATTTTTCCCTATTTTCATACTTTATGCAGATGATACCATGGTATTCTCAGTGTCTCACCAAAAAAAGATATTATTCATAAGGTTTTGAATAGTAGGTTGTGATTCCTTCTTATGCCAGTAATTCATTCTTTATATTTTATAAATAACACTTGGCCCTATATAAAAAAATAAATAAATATCATTGCCAAAGGTAGGGCAAAGGTCACAGTCAGAGAGCAGCATCAGACAGATCTACGTTTTCTGAAAACGGTGACAGGTTACATAACGGGTCGCTGCATGGCAGAAACACATCTCCCTCACTGCTAACGGCACACAAGCTTCTCTGTTTGTGTTAGAAACAGGCCTGTATTTTTTTTTTTACCCCACAGTCACGAAAACATATGTCAGGATTTGAGCTGTGTCCGGTGCATTAGCGCCTTGCTAATGCAGCCCTGGACGTTTTGACAGTTTTGCCACATTACAATGACAAACCTCAATGTGTTTCATTCAGATTTTTGGTGGTCGGGAGATGATGCAGAGCTCTCACTCACTTTAGAAAGGAAAATCAGAAGAAATCAGCGTTTTGTATTGATTACTTCTGAGTAAGTGCCGTACTGTACAAACCTCATTTGTCTCCAATTGAGTTTTCTCTGCCAGCTTTCATCGTCCAGAGCAGGGGTGGGCAACTCCAGGTCTCGAGGGCCGGTCTCCTGCAACTTTTAGATGCTTTTCAACTTCAACACACCTGAGACAAATAATGAGGTCATTAGTAGGACTCTGGAGAACTTGACTGCACTTAGGAGGTGACTCAGCTTTTGGATTCTAGTGTGTTGGACCAGGGAGACATCTAAGAGTTGCAGGACACTTGCCCTCGAGGATCAGGATTGCCCACTGCTGGTCTAGAGATTTACATATTTGTTTGTTCTTTGGAAAATAATCAGATTTTTGGGAGAGTGTGTCCGTGAACAACAATTCTGAAATCTTGACCCAGATTCTTGGTTGGATTTAAGTCTTGACTTTGATTAGGCCATTCTAAAACATGACTCTGCTTTTCCCTAAGCTATTCTACTGTATTTCTGGCTGTATATGTATAGTGTTGAAAGTCTTTTACAGCCTCTAATAGATTTTCTTCTAGCATTGTCTCTAACTAGCTTCTCTGTGTCCGGCTAAAGAAAAGCATCCCCTTAGCATGATGCTACTCCCTCTGTGTTTTACAGTGAGAATAACAATGTGCGGTGTTTGTGGAAAAAGGCAAAGTTCAGTTTTGCTTTGACCTTACGTGACGGTGAAATGTAATATTGTTTTATGCATTACCTGTTCATTAAACTTCTCCATAAATATTTGTCTCTGACCCAACTGTTGTGTTCCTTTGTTTTCATGATGCTGTCTGTTCTCTAATGTTCTCTAACAAACAACAGCTGAGATTAAATTACACAGATTTAGGAATGTTATTTGATCACACTGGACTTTATTTAAGGACATCAGAGTAAAGAGGGCTGGATAAAACTAGGCCTGTCACAATGACAAATTTTGGTGGACAATAGATTGTCCCAGAGGTTATCACGATAAATGATAATATTGTTGTTTTGAGGCTATTTTAAGGTAATATAATGGTAATGGTATAATAATGCAAGAAGACATTATCAAAGGTCAATAAACTTTAAATTTTAATGGACATTTAACACTGGAAGTGGAAGACATTTTTAATATTCAACAGAAATCAACAAAACAACATAAACAACAAATAAAGTGAACAATGAAGTCTGTGTAAACCAAATTGTCCTTGAAAAACATTTAGATGAGACCAAAGCACTGGACTGAAGACTTTTGTCGTCCAGTTTTTGGTAGAGAGAAAAAGAATGAAAAACAATAAATCATGCAAATGGAAATTATTCAGTTTGTTTTCATTGATTTATTGATTTATTTCTTATTGCAACAGGCCTAGAGACAAATGCATGTCACATTTTAGATTTTATGAAAAATAAAAAACTGAAACTGTATAATTTCTCTTCCATTGCTGTTATATTGGTCTGTTCTGGTATGTTTGTGTTGGTAATGTAAAGAAATACAACAGCACTGAAACTCATGTGACTCCTCATTTTGCAATGGTAATTTATTCATTTATTTTTCACCAGTTTTCATGGTTATATTGTACGTTTGATAGATATTTATATGATATAGTGCTTTCCAGGTGTGGACATCGAGATTTTTTTCTTCGCTTTTCATTTTGTCAGTTTTGTTCGACAATGAGCGGAGTCCGTGGCTCCACCCTCAGCTCCAGTCCTGGTTTTCAGCACCGGCGATTCTTCTTCTTGTCTAGACAGAAAGCAGGCGGACCGAGGCCAGCCGGGAGAATCCCTGCTCCGTACTCCAGCCCCGGTGTTCCCGCTCTCCGGCTCTTTGTCCCCGGAACTCGCTCTCACTCCTGGCCGTCCACCGGGGCTTTTTTTTTTTTTTTTTTACTCGCATCTGGATCCCAGTACGAGTCGCAAACAGCCCAGCGTCCTGTGCCGCAGAAACCACGGCGTCTTTAAATTTGGGAAAGAAAGCAAGAAAAGAAGACGAAGAAAAAGGGAAGACAGAAGAAACGCAGCTCTCCTCCGGCAACTTTCTGCGGTCTGCTGTCCTCCCGTGGTTTATCCGTTCGTCGAAGCCGTGAAGCAGTTTGTGTGAGACTGTGATTGTTGCCTCAAGTTGGAGAGAAAGTTTTTTTTTTCTGCTCGCTGTTTTCGCACATAAGTTTCCCCCCCCCTGTCGAGTCTGGAACTTGATACTTAACTAATACCTGTTGCTTTTAAACGTGCGACGTTTTAACAGGGTTTAGGCTTTTTTTCCCGGCGTTTTTTCTTTTTTCTCTTTTCTTTTCTGGCTCCCAAATTGTTGCTGCAGAGCTGGCCTCGGAGCTGCTGTGAATGAAGTTTCTGTTGAGCTGAAGAAATCTCCATGAGGAAACTCAGCCTGAGAGACGCAAAAACTTTGCCTTAACTAACAAACACACAAGACACCTGGGAGGCTGTCTACCTATTTTGAGTTTTAATTTTTACGGCTTTTATTTTTAAAAAAACATTTATATATTTTTTAACCTTAAAATGAAGACGCTGTCGGTGCTGTGTGTAGTCTGCACGCTGGCTGTGTTGACCGTGTCGGGAACCTCGGAACCAAAGTTGAAAAACTGTAACGAAGTTCGGGAGGCTTTCACCTCCAAAGGCTTCAACATGAACGATGCCCCCAACAAAGTGGTCAACGGTGAGTTTTACTCTCCAGCTCTGCTTTTAAGCCCACAGGCGGGGAGGGGAGCTGCCCGGGGGGCTTCATTGTAAAGATTTCCCTGTGCTCTTGTTTTACGTTTTTAACTTGGTAAAGTTGCCTGTAGTGACTCCTGTAAACATTCAGTCACTGTTTTAGCCGGTTCCTTTTCTTAGCTAACAAAAACACGTTAAATATGTCTTTTAAGGAAAACTGCTTTAAGTTCGGCCAGGTCTTGGAAAAACTACAGCAACTCAGCTGTTGCATTAAAGCTGCTAGCCAAGCTTTTGTAGAATGAATCAAAATCACGTCAGTCACTTTTACGACAACGTGTTTTGGTATTTATATGTAGTTATACAGTTGATAAATTGTTTTAATTTAGGTTAAAAAAATAAATAAATCTGCTTTCCCAGAAACGAGCCTCAACAAGCATGTGCATCTGGTGACGTCACAGAAGGCACAAGGCAATTAATCTTTTTTTTTTATTGCCATTTCTTAAACTTTGCTTGTTAAACTTAGTAACTCTATTTTACTTGGAAACAGTCAAACATTTGAGAATAGTGTTTCCTACAGAATTTTGAAAAATACGAAATTTAATTTCTATCCTTTAAAAAAAATTTCAGTTTATCAAGGGTGAGATAAAGGTTGAGCTTCCAAGTTTATTTTTTTTCCACAATCTACATTTATGTGTTTTTGGATGATGACCATTATCTTTATGCTTAATAATTTTTTTTAACGAACAGAAAAAACACTCTTCAAAGGTTAAAGTTGTCATTTGTGGTTTCAATGCTATTTTTGTGATTTAATGAGTTATACACATGGCGTTTACATTGGATGCATGGTTCTTTAGCTGGAGCTAACTGACAGGTCAAGCAGAGGATTGAAATTTCTTCTTGGTAGAATTCAGAATCACAAATTAAAGTTATGTGTTCAATCTTGATTAATCTAAACCCAGCATTATATATTTTAATGATCCAAGTTGTCCTGAAAGTCACAAATGGATCTATAAATAAAATATGTAAAGTAAAAACCCAACTTGGTGAATGTTTTATACTCAAATGTTCCACAAAACTGGCAAAAAAAGAAGAAAAAAAGTAATTTATTTATTTTTTACCATGCATTCATTTTCTTGTTTGCTGACACAAAACTCTTTCTGGTAGGAAGTAGACCAGATTTTCAGTTCCAGGACTGATCACACATAAAATAGACTGAATTTATCCACCAGCTGTATATCTCTAAGATCTCCTGTTGTACTGTAGGTGTTGCAGTGGTGACAACTCACCTCTCCCCTGGCTAAACATTGTTTTCCATGTAGGAAATACTTGCAACTAATTCATAACAATATAAGGGGGTATAATCGACACAAAAGCCCGACTCCCTGCTGAACGAGGCCAGGCCTGTGTTTATTTCCAGGCTTCCTCGGCGGAGGCTCCTGCAGCTGTGAAGTGCAGGCAGCCTGCGGTGATTTAGTAAACATTCCTCGCGAACAAGGCTTGTGGATTTCTCTCCTCTGACTCGGCTAGTCCTCGTTTTGCGGTTGAGGCTGGCTCCGTTTGAGCCGAACGTGGACCAGACGAAAGCACATGACTGGATGAAGGGCAACCGGCGAAGGGGGCCTGATGTGTTGGGAGTTAGACGGGGGTAGGAGGGCAAATCAATGAAGCCAATCATGGGATGCAGCCAAGTAATGGAAACCTGGGTAGGGGGGGCTGTTACAGTGACTGCTTTGAGGGGAAGCAGGGTTAGGAGGGGAGGAGGCTTGAAATTCCTCTGTGCCCTACGTACTGAAACCCTCCCCCACCTTTCTCCATCACCTTTTAATTTTCACTGTAGTTAAATGATTACTGTGTTGTTGGCAGCCGTGAAGTGGCTCCAGCGTTGTGCTCTGCTGTGATTTTTACAATCACTGATATTTTTTGTCGTGGCGTATCTCTGATCAAGTTTTGATGTGCACAATATCAAAACTTAGGTTAAATTTCTCTGTCGTACTCAAAGCTCTTTTTGTTGTTGTAATTTTAAGCATAAAACAGCCTATTTTGTAATCTTATTACAAATATGTAGGTCCTTTTTGTTCCTTGGTTGTTGTTTTTCTGGTTGTTTCTCACAGAAAGCACTTCAGCAAATTTGCACATGCCAAATACCCTTAGTAGAAGAACCATGTGTGTGATGGCATGGAGACAAAATGAGCTTTTCAGATGTACACTGCCTTGTAAAAGTATTCATTCCCTTTACGGCAGAGGTGTCCCGATGCAACTTTTCCCATTCCGATACAATACTGATATCACGGCTTTGAGTATTGGCCGATACCGATGTTGACTTGATGCATTATCAATGGAAACAATGCATACTTTTATTACTTATTTGTAGTGTGGAAAGTTAGAAAACACTTGATAAAAGTTATAGATAACAGTAGTTGGAAAACAACTGACTTGGTCGTTTATCATATATTATTAAAGTGCATGTGGGATACAAGTGCTGCTGGATAGAAATGCTGGAGTGGAATCCTGGGCCGGACTGCTTCCATTTGAGATTTTAGATGCAGTCTGGTATAATCAAATTCTTGCTTTTTTTGGTTGATATTGGACCGACATCAAGATCAGATTGGGACACTTGTAATTTACAGTTTTTAAAATATTACAACCACGCCCCTCTCATGGAGGAATTTGTTTTACCTTTTGCACCTTTTGTCGAAGAACGGCATGTTCAAAGAAAACAATGAAGGTCCTCTGATTAACTAGTTCAAGTCTGTGTGGTGGAAAACAAATACTGTGCATCATGATGAATGCACAGTATGTACAGAACTAAGTGAACAATATGTACTTAGTGTTTTATAGCAATATTTTGTGGTACTGTTGAGAATACGTTAAAAAAAAAAGGTAAAACTGCTATTTACTTTTGTGGTAACTGTATGGCTTGCATTTCCTGGCACAACATTCACAGCTCACAAATACTGTTCTTAAAAAACATTTCCACTCCAGGTGTCATTTATATCGCTAAGCAGCAAACGGCGACTGCGTTTAGTTGTGTTTTTGAATTTACTGAGATTTACTGATGCTTTCATGGAGCAAACGGTGAAGAATACAGCAAAAATAACATTTCGTTCAGTTTTTTGTAACATAAGTAACTGAAATTTATCGAGACAATAAGTAAAAATTCTTGTAATGGCATTTTTTTAATAATGATAAACTAGGAGCAGACTTTTACCGTATAATTTATCGTGATGAATTTCTTATCAAAATAAGAAATTGTTTCTAATATTGTCATGATAAATTCCAAATAATTGTGTTTAAGCACCTTGAAACTGTCCATATTGTCTGGATTGGTAGTTTTATTATTTTCTGTTTGTTGCATGAGAGCATCAATATTATTAACTGCAGCTACTTTGTGTAAATGTGACCTAAAGTTGCCTAAAAATGACATAAATCATCCTTACTGCCACTTTTATGGTTATCACAATACTACCACAAAATACAGCTTTACATTTTGTGGGGCGGAACAAGGAGAAGAAGAATGTTTCTTCTTCTATTTTTGTTTCTTCTTTTCTAGGTGTGCGAAGCTGCTAGAGACATATCTCAATAAAATGCTTCTACAAAATGCTGTCAGTGGGAAACAGAACTTCAGATCTGTGTTCACAAGAAGTGTGGAAAACCATGGATTATTTTTCTTTCTCTTCACAACTTTTTGTGGTCTTTCTTGCTGAATCCCAATAAAATTCACTGAAGGTTGCGGTTCTAACAAAACAAAATGTGTTGAAGGGTTATGAACGCTTGAATAATGGAAGACACTATTCAGCCAGGCTTGGATGTTTCTCCTTGATAGACATTATAGTAAATGATTCATTGGGGGGAAAAGACTGTTAAGAGTCTCCAGATACTCCCTCAAAATGTCTGGTTGAACTTGATAATTAAGCAATAATTTTAACTTGGTGGAGTTGTCAAAATGCTCATCCTGAATTAATTTTCCTTTCCGTTCGGCTCGGTAGACTTGCGTGACAACAACGCATTGAGGAAGGATTCACTCGCCCGTCTTGGTTTTAATGCAAGTAGATTTGGACTTACCCTTACTTTGGTGCAAACATCATAAATCCAGCGTGTGGGACACGAGTTCTCGGTGGAGACGGACATTCAGAGATCGCATTTTGAACCGCAAACATCTCCAGTTGTTGTTGGCAGCCAACAGATAAAAATTAATGTGTGTTGCCGTCAAAATTGCCCAGCAGTTTATCTGAAACCAGACACGAGTCGGTGAAATGTTTTTTAGGCAGTGAAGCTGCAGTGGAAACCCAGACTGCTCGCGTTTAGACAGAATGAAGTGATACGGAGGAACAGCAGGCTTTCTTGGTAAATTCCTCCGTTATCCCATGGTATCAGCTGAACCGCTTCTCATGGAACCGGTTCCAGACTTGGCTTCCAACTTTTCTTTTTTGCCTGTCTAGGGATGATTTATTTGTGGCTTGTGGTGGAATATTTTGCATAAATTGGGAAGTAAATTTCCCCAACAGAGTGAATAAATAATGTTGGCAATCATGGAAAATGTAAATGGTGGTTTCTGCTGCCTGACGTTCAGCTAATAATGTGTGCAACTGTTGTATTTGGTTCTTTAAATTACGAAAGGCTCTCGCTGGCTGAGTGGCGAAGATCCTCAGAATTAATTTATTAGCTTGTAGATTAGAAATAAGCTGGTGTAAGACTCTCACCGTGTGAAAACCTTGACTAAAACGCAGCATCGTCACGGCAACACAGTGTAAACTTGGGACAAATTATCAAATTGGTTTTAAATCATAAGAGCAATGATTATCTCTTCATCTGTTATGAGTTTGATTATTACAGTTAGTTTTATCATCATTGCCATTTGTTCTTTTTCACTTGTACTTTTGCAAAAGTTTTCAGGCTGTGTTCCTGTACTTTTTCTATATCAAACAAACTAAAACCTTTGAAAAACCTTTTTTTCCCTCCTTGCCTGTTGTGGCGCTGGACCAAGAACAACTGAGATAAATGAGA